TCTTTTTCTGCATTAATTTTTTTTTATCAAGCACTTAATATGAACACTAGAGCTCACTTGGTGTATCGCTTAATCAAGCAGAATGCAATGGCCATTGTTATTTGAAACCCGATTCAGTCTCAAGATAGTATCGCAAAGCGGTTAACATTAAATCATTCAACATTAAACATTGGTTGGTGTGTCGGTCCCCATACCCCATTTACCACTTATATCTTTCATGACATAGACATACACCTCTCAACAAAAATATTCGAGATATATATCTTTTTAAAAACATTTAATGAGACCCTTTATTATTCTATTGACTTATTTAATCCTTAATTGGTTGTACAAACTAGAATTTCAGTTATGGTTCAAGGCACACGGATCCAGTAAGAGCGGTCAATCCAGGACCCGTCAAACGAAGATTACATCAAAATGCTTTGCATCACGGTCTCGAAGAAACTCAGATTAATATCAAGAGACAGCGGCCATCGCACTGGCAAGCAAACCTTTTGAGATCACATGTAGTAGAACAGACACTAATGTTGGACTTATGAATTCTACTCACACTACTAAAAATCAGCTTTTCATCTACGGATAATTACAAACGGATTGTTTCCGTTGGTAATTAGAAATGAATTATTCGTTGGTAAAAGTATTAGATTTTCAACTACGAAAATCACCAATGGAATTTTTATTGGTGAAAGTGGTACTCTTCACCAGCGGATATTTCGTACCTAATGTTGTTATTTAATATGCTTACCATTTACCAACAACATTTCTATAGGTGATATAATTTAACTTTTTTTCTAAAAAATGTGTCAACATTTCACCTACAAATTTTCAGTGGGCGAAGAGTAGTTCATATTACCAACGGAATTATAGTTGCTAATATTAATCAATTTTAATAATTAATAATTCAAACATTCTCCTACGGAATATTCGTAGGTAAAGAGTGATTAATTTTTATTTTTTTAAAATTCAACGTCTTTACCAACGAAAATTCCATAGGTGAAGTATTCATATTACCTACGGGAAATCTGTTGATATTAATCAATTTTAATATTGCTAAATCGGAAATTTTTATCCCACATATAAAGTTCTCAACAAAATCTTTGGAGGTAGCTTCTATAAATTAGTGGTCTAATAAGTTATTAAACAACATTTTGGACATTTTAATTCAGTTGGCTAACAGTTTAAAATTTTATAATTAATAAACAATAATAAATAAATTATTTGCCGTGTCTCACACATATGTCACTATTTACAACGCTGATTTTTACCAATTGTAATGACAGACATTCACCAATGGAAAATCAGTAGGTAATTGTCAAGATTTTTGCCAACGAAATTTTCGTTGGTAAAAGTTTCACACTATACCAACGGAAAATTCATTGATAAAAGGCTTACTCTTTACCTATGAAGCGATCCATTGAAAGCTATCAGTGACCCTCAAATTGACAACAGATTTGTGGTTGCTAATATTTCGTCAGTAAAGAGTAATAGCAACGAATATCTTGGTTTCAGGAACGAAAAATTTGTACCTAAAGCCATGTTTTTTTTGTAGGGTCACACCGCCGAGACTGCTTCAAATCCTATAATTAGAGTTGAAGTAGTGCTTGAGATACTCTCCTTCAAGTTATTAATTAAAAAACGAAATTTTTCTAGACTATTAGTGGAAACTCACAAGACGACCGATGGGAATCACAACATTAGAATTCCTTGAGCCATGCTAGTTGTACAACCCTAATTAACAACCACTCACATGGGTGGTCCACTTTNTCTTTTTCTGCATTAATTTTTTTTTTAAATAACTTAATATGAACATTGTGAGCTCACTTGGTGTATCGCTTAATCAAGCAGAATGCAATGGCCATTGTTATTTGAAACCCGATTCAATCTCAAGATAGTATCGCAAAACGGTTAACATTAAATCATTCAACGTTAAACATTGGTTGGTGTGTCGGTCCCCATACCCCATTTACCACTTATATCTTTCATGACATGGACATAAACCTCTCAACAAAAATATTCGAGATATATATCTTTTTAAAAATATTTAATGAGACCCTTTATTATTCTATTGACTTATTTAATCCTTAATTGGTTGTACAAACTATAATTTCAGTTATGGTTCAGGGCACATGGATCCAGTAAGAGCGGTCGATCCAGGACCCATCAAAAGAAGATTACATCAAAATGCTTTGCAGCACGGTCCGAAGAAACTCAGACTAATATCAGGAGACGGCGGCCATTGCACCGGAAAGCAAACCTTTTGAGATCACATGTAGTAGAACAGATACTAATGTTGGACTTATGAATTCTACTTACACTACTAAAAATCAGTTTTTCACCTACGGATAATTACAAACGGACCTTTGGTAATTAGAAATGAATTATTCGTCGATAAAAGTATTAGACTTTCAACTACGAAAATCACCAACGAAATTTTTGTTGGTAAAAGTGGTATCTCTTCACCAACGGATATTCCGTACCTAATGTAGTTATTTAATATGCTTACCATTTACCAACAGCATTTTCGTAGGTGATGTAATCTAACTTTTTTTCAAAAAAAGGTGTCAACATTTCCCCTACAATTTTTTACTGGGCAAAGAGTAGTTTATATTACTAATGGAATTATAGTTGCTAATATTAATCAATTTTAATAATTAAAAAATTCAAACATTTTCCTACAGAATATTCATATGTGAAAGGTGATTAATTAAAAAAAAAATCAGCATCTTCACCAACGAAAATTCCATAGGTGAAGTATTCATATTACCTACGGGAAATTCATTGATGATATTAATCAATTTTAATAATGTTAAACCATAAATTTTTATCCCAGATCTAAAGTTCACAACAAAATCTTTGGAGATGACTTCTATAAATTAGTGGTCTAATAAATCATTAAACAACATTTTGGACATTTTGATTCTATTGGCTAAAAGTTTTTAAAAAAAATTATAATTAATAAACAATATATAAGAAATAAATAAATATTTTTTTTGCCACGTCTCACACCTATGCCACTATTTAGAACGCCAATTTTTACCAATTGTAATGACAGACATTTACCAACGGAAAATCGGTTGGTAATTGTCAAGATTTTTACCAACGAAATTTTTGTTGGTAAAAGTTTCACACTGTACTAACAGAAAATTTATTGATAAAAAGTTTACCCTTTACCTACGAAGCGATCCGTTGATAACTATAAGTGACCCTTAAATTAATAACAGATTTGTAGTTGCTAATATTCTGTTGGTAAATAGTAATAGCAACGGATATCTTGGTTTCAGGAACGGAAAATCCGTGCTTAAAACCATGTTTTTTTGTAGTGTCACACCACCGAGATTGCTTCAAATCCTATATAATTAGAGTTGAAGTAGTGCTTGAGATACTCTCCTTCAAGTTATTAATGAAAAAATGACATTTTTCTAGACTATTAGTGGAAACTCACAAGACGACTGATGGGACTCACAACATTAGCATTCCTTTGATTGCCTTACACTATGTATAGCGTATGCTAGATAGGGTATAATTCTGAAATGGCAATAGTTACAAGCAAAATTGTACTTGATCTTTTCGAGAATTAAAAAAGATTAATTGAAAAAAAAAAAAAAATACTTGATCGTCTGCAAATAAGTCTCCTAGAACATACTCTTGTCATGCGAATTCGGCCACTCGAAAATTGACCAGCAACTTCATTATATCTTTTAGATTAGAAACAAATGGGTCGAGTCAAATAATTTGGATGTGAAAGGAATACGTTTTGAATGGTGCATCTGAACTGCCTTATCTCTATATATCTTCTCGTGGCCGAAAGTAATATGCACGGGACTTCTTTTATCCAATAATGGGACTTCTTTTATCCATATCTCTTGCAAATATTCCGCCTAATTAATCATGGCGTCGATGTAAAAATTGAAAATAAACTTTATTTAAAAATCAATGGCGATTCATTTGACAAAACATACTCGGTGCTCTATTTATCTCTATTAAATGACAAGGCTAACGGAGGTATGACACTAAACCTATGTTTTGCTCATTTTTATAAATTGTTTGTAAACGCTTAATTTAATTTTCACCTATTCATTTCGAGGGACTTACAAGTATTAATATTAACCATTTATTTACCACTATTTCTATCTGTTTATAAATGAAAGGAAAAATTGCAGCAACGGTACCAAACATTTCATTTAGTTGCAGACTTTACCCAAATCATTCGTCTGTACCACCCACGGTACCAAATCTTTAAAAAAACTCGCACCCGGAGTCCAAGTTGATAGAAATCGTCAGTTTGATCATTAGTTGACCAAAAATTAAAAGTCTGACCAATTGTTGACTAATTTTTAAAGGGCAAATGGGTAACTTTACATTTTTTTATATAAAAAAAACTAAAATCAAATAATTAAATCAAAAACAAAAAAAAAACCTATTTACTTTACATTTGATGAAGTTTTTGGAATTGAGATCTAGATTTCTGGTGATGATGGATGAGGTGGTGTCAGAGTTGTATTGGTGTGGTGGTGCCGACATTTGGGGGGTTCTGATTTTGGATGGGACGGGATGGGGAAGATAATAGGGTTTATTTATTTATTTTAATTTTAATTTTTTTATATGAAAAAAAATGTAAAGTTACTCATTTGCCCTTTAAAAATTAGTCAACAGTTAGTCATACCGTTAATTTTTGGTTAACTAACAGTCAAATTGACGTTTCTGTCAACTTGGACTCCGGGTGCGAGTTTTTGAAAGGTTTGGTACTGTGGGTCGAATGAAAGATTTGGGCAAAGTCTGCAACTAAATGAAAGGTTTGGTACCATTGCTGCAATTTTTCCTAAATAAAATGGTTTATAAACATTTTTCAAACATGCTTTAAAGTTTAGTAACAAGCGCTAATGTAGTGACTAAAATTGAAAATAAATTAAGGTTCATATTGACCGTGACTTAATCAAGATTTCACTAAAAGTTCGATGACCAAAAATGAAATTAACCCATTATCTAACTCATGAAATGCAGAAGATAATCTGGCTACAAATATACATTCATAGAACACATTGATATGTAGGGGACATACCTACTTATCCATCAACTTTCACTGGGATAAAATGAACCCCTTACAAAAAGTAGACTTGTTATTCAATTGTCCACTAAAGTATTTTCGATTAAAAAAAATTATTAGTCTACTTTTTTTACTTCTAAAAATATTCTCTCTCGATAAAAAAATATTTAACATGGTCATTCAAACATGCAAAATTACTACAAAGTTGACGAGAAAGATTACGAATTTATTAAAAGTTAAGCCCTATTTGATTTAGTTGAAAATTAGTTTTTTAGTATATAGTTTGATAAAAGTTAATGATATATATATAGTTGAAAAATTGATAAAAGTTATGGATCATATGAAATGCTGGTTGATAATTAAGCTTGAGAGAAAATGAATTTTAAAAATGAACCAAACAATGCTAAGCGACGATAAAAGATTTTCCTCGTAATTGATGGCCATGCCGCCATCTTGATGATCGAACATGACATAAAGATGAAATTGAAAACAAAATTGAGATAACTCGAATAAAATCTTAGTTATTGCACATTAAATTTACCGGCCAAAAAGTGATTGAAAGGGAAATATCATGAGAAACTAGCTAAGATTCTAGTTCTGGTCCAACAAATTAGTACTAGACTTTCATGAGGGGACCTTGACCACCTGGGCAGCACAAAATGTGCAAAAGTCTCTATTTTGCACCTACAACGTTAGTAATCATGGCTGGTACGATGATTCCCAAAGTTCTTGGAGGTGCACAGAAATAGCCTTTCGTAGGGTGCAGGTAGCGGTGGCAAAAAAATTCAGAGGCTCGGACGGCTCGAGCTCCACTCGAAAAAAGCCCGATCCAAAAAAGCTCAAACTCGGCTCGTTGACTTCGCTAGCTATAGGCTGCAGTCATTTTGGTGGCAGTAAATAGTTGCTGGCCTGGCCGAGTCGTCCTTGCTCTCGAGAAAAAATTCACGAATATCAACCACTATTTCATAGCAGATTTAGGTAATTCACAACTCGATCAAGTGTATATTAATTTCCGTATGCAATCGATTATGCTATAGAAATTAATCTACACCTTGATTTTGTCGAATATACTTCAAGATAAACTTAAGCATTTGTTTTGTGCTGATTAAAATTCATATTTTAATTTAAATCAAAGTCAACTATCTATTTTAATCACATCGTTCAGGAGTCCCGCGACTTTTTAACCACACATGTCATCAATTTTTATCAAAATCTACTAAAAAATTAATTTTAAAGTCAACATTCACGATGGAACTTTCGTCACAGTCAGAATAAATAGTGTGTTGACAATTAGGGTGTTATTTTCCCTATACTTAAATCTCTTTAAAGAAATCCCCATTTATCCTCCTATAAGACTAATTTCATATTTTTATTAATATAGATTGATGACTACTAATAATGTTATTTTCCCTATATAGCTGAAATAGAACTGCCAACTAGCGGGTACCAACCAGAAGAAAATGACAACCGACACCTCCTTAATTGAGTATCCTCCTTTATTATGTCATCCTGTGAAAGTTGAGATTCATGGTCTTTCTATTTTTTAAAATTTTTGATATTTCAACATGTCAACTCATGTTAATAAATAATAAATGAGATAAAAATTATTATAAAGATACCAAGTTGACATATTCTCGTATTAAGGCCCTGTTTGAGCCACATTATATTTTTCATTCTTATTTTTTTATTCATTTTCAATCACATATTTTTTAATAAAATAATATTTTTTATCACATCAATAATTTTTCCTTATTTTTCAACCACATATTCCCCATCACATCACATCAAATAAAAAAAAAATGCATTCTCTCATTTTAATATGCATTAAACACACTCTAACTAATAAGAGTTCATTTGTAAATGTAGAAAAATATAACGACAAACGGTTATGTTTTCACTGAGACTAGGGCCATAAAAGATGGCATATTAGCGTTTTAACCAAAATGTCATTCGATAAATCACACGATCATTTGATGGATCATATAAATGAAATGAGACGGTGTGGATAATTTTTGTAAATCTAATAGTCCATACAAATTTAATTTGGGCAAGATAAAAATTTTTTGGGTTTTGCTACATGTACATTCAGGTACCAGTGAAAAAATTGGTTTTTTACTAGTCAATGATGAATGTCATTTGGACATCATGTACACTAGAATGTAAACCTTGATATATATGTAGAATAATTCAAACTTCTTACCGCTGATGTGGTAAGAA